GTCATATTGTTTGGCGGTGATGCCGAATAGTCCTCGTTGTTGCTGGTCTTCTTCTTGGATCCGGTGTGCGAAGTGATTCTTTTTTGTCAGAAAATCTCTTTCCTCTTAGACGGCGCCAAATTGTGGGAGTCGGATCTGTACAGTTAAATTTATCTAGGGTTGTTCAGGAGATGGAAATTTCTATGAGGCGGACTCACTAAAAACACAATAGATTATGAAAAGAGTTCTCTTTATTGCTGCTTATGTTTAAGGTTTATTACAAGAGAGTTTCTCTGTAAGAAGTTCTGATCCCATTTTTAGATGAGTACAATGAGATATATATAGTATTAACTAACTGGCCCAACTAATAAGATGGAATTTGCCCACTAAGCAATATATCTACTTTTGGCCTATAATTTCATTAAGCGCATTTTCCTTATGGGTTTAATGTCATTTTGGACCTAGATTCAGACTGAGTCTTTGCAGACTAGCTTCAATTTTGTCAGGATGCTGCCAAGTTGATCTTGTCGTTATATCGATCTCATAGGGGTGAAATCGGACCCCTACAAGTAATGCTAGTAGAAAAAGCTATAATCTAAACGACGCAATCACACGTTGCATTATTCAGGTGAGAGTCCTCTAAAGCTTTAGATTTTTATCACATAAAAACTGAATATGAGTTTGTGTAAAATTTGGACCATTGTATGAATTTGTATAGGTGTATCCCAAATCATGGACTGCGATATACGTAGCGCTGGACAATGTAGGAATGTGCAACATGAGATAGTTATAGGAAAGACAATACTTGGGACAACAGTTTTACTTGCGTGTTTATACAAACTCTACTTCTCTTAGAGATGAATACTTGATCCCTAAGGCCATCATTATCCATGATACAATGTGAGTATCATTAAATATAAAATTATTAAAAATACACTCTCTCTTCTTTTTATTTAACTTTATACCTTCTCTTTCATCTTTTTACTCAACTTTTATTAATTTTATACTCTCTTTAAATATAAAATTATTAAAAATACACTCTTTCTCTCTTCAAAAGTATCAACTATTTGATACTTTTGATACTCTCTCTCTCCAAAAATACCCACTATCTCTTCTCTTTACTCAAATTTTATATTTCAATACACCCCATTATTTCAACAAAAAACACTCTCTTTCTTCCTTTTACTCAAATTTTAATAATTTTATATTTAATGATACCCACATTGTATCATTGTTAATGATGCTCTAAGAACGCTCTTCTTTGTGGCAAGGCTAGTGGCTGTCACCAGGGGCAGAGCTACATTAAGCAGAAGGGGAGCA